GGTTTGAAAATACACAAAGTCAGAAACTGGTCTGAAGAAAATTTTCTAATCATCAGCCATGCAAAAATATAAACAAAGGATTCCATTTCATATTAACACCAGTCAAAACAAGCTTGTCCTTTGGGCAATATACTCATATACACAGCATATATAATTATAAATGCACCATGCATTCTTTTTTATAGGAATTGTACAAAATATCAGAATTTCTATGTTTAATTTTTTGATGACTCACCATGAATTACTGGTAATCAATGCATATAATGAAAAAATCCACCATTCATGGGCTGGGGATTTAGCTCAGTGGTTCCGCTGCCTGCCTCACAACCGCAAGGTCCCTATTTCGATCCCTGGTACCAAAAGAAAAAAAAAATCCACCATTCATAATGCAATTTTCTTCTTTTTTTTTTTCTGGCCTCAAACTCCCAGTGATTCTCCTGCCTCAGCCTCCGGTGTGCTGGATTATAGGTGTTCACTACCACACCTGGCTATATAACGCAATTTTCAAATAAACTGGCTTATGAATATTGTCACTTTGAAGAGTATGTGTAAGGTTAGGCCCTGCACAAGAAAAATTGAAATGTTCTAAAATCTTACAACTCAGATGAAAGTTGTCTGTTTGCTTGTTTGTGTTTCCAAATCTGGGAATTGAACCCAGGGCCTAGTATATGCTAGGCAAGCATTCTTCTACTGAGCTACACTTTGGTCCAATGAAAGAATTGGGGGTGGGGCACACTGTGTGGATCAGAGGGACACTTTGTCACTTAACTACCCCCCTCAGCCTTTTCTTTTTGTTGTGTTTTTTGTTTGTTTGCTTTGTTTTTTTGAGACAGGGTCTCACTATATAGTTCAGGCTGGCCTCAAACTCACAGCAATCTTCCTCCTTCAGCCTCCCAAGTACTGGGACTATAGGAATATGCCACTGTACCTATTTTGTTTTGTTTTGTTTCCCCCTGGGACAGGGTCTCACTAAGTTGTCCAGGTTGACCTCAAACTTGCAATCCTCCTGCCTCCGCCTTCCAAGTAGCTGGTATTACAGGCATGTGCCAGCACACCTAACCCAATGAAATAAATTTGATCCAGGTTTTTCCCTTTTTCAAGTATCAAATTTTTCATGACATTGCCAATAATAACTCATGAACCCGAAACTTTCTTTAAACTATTGAATTAAAAAAAGACAAGTTTTAGGAGCCAGGGATTTAGTTCAGCTGCCGCCTGCCTCACAAGCACAAGGTCCTCAGTTCAATCCCCAGTACGGAAAAAAAACAAAAACAAAACAAGTTTGATCCACCATGGTAAGACTAAATTGTCTTTCTAGCCTCTTTCTCTAAAGAGTATTATCAAACACAGAAGTAATCAAACAGCCAAAAAAAGTAAGAAAAAACTAATATTTAAGTATGACTGGCATTTAATTAATCAAACTACTGTATTGTTGGAACTGTTTTGTTCCATGTCAGTTTTTTTAAATTTGCAGTTGTGATGTCATCATAAATAAATATTCTTTCATACCTATTTTTATATTTCTATTTGTGTGTTTGAAGACATCCTTTTCTCACCCTGCCCCCAACCCTGGAAATTGCCTAAGGATTAGGTTCTGCAAAAGCTGGCTGACTGAAGGGAAGAGCAAGCTCTTGTGTTTCTATAGCTGTCTGAGGTGTTGGAGCTGGTTACTCAGACCCTCAGCCCAGAAGCTAAATATTGTCAGGTCCCCTGGGCTGATAGGTGGGTACAGGTTAGAAAATCACCTCTTTATACAGTCATTTCGGAGGCATTTTAGATTGCCAGTAACATTGCCAGCCCTGTACGAATCTTTGCTTCCAGAGGAACCCCCAATGATCAGGAGAAGCATGCTAATTGCCATTTGGGCCTGTGACACACCTATCTTTTTTCTGATGAAGTGTTTTGAGAAGTCAAGTCATGCCCATGTCCTTAATTAAATTA